TCGCTACTGGTTGTCGGTGCATAGGCAGCGATAACGAATAGGCACCTGTTAGTCCCACGCGACTTCGAAGCTTTGAACGAGCCAGCCAATCGGACCGCACACATCCGGCTACTGATTGGAATCCAATCAACCAGAGCAGATTCAGCCCGGCGACTCAGGGCAATACCAACACCGGCTTGGCCGGTGCTCGGAGCTGCATCGTCACCGGATAGGCGCAATGAGAAAGTGCTGCTAGTGTCACCTGAAGGGGATCGCAGAGTGAGTACAGAGCTCAAGTCTTACAGGCCGGTCTCCGATAAGCAGCAGATATCGGTCGAGAGGGTCTCCAATATTCGGGCAAGTGCTGCCTGTTGACCGATCTGAAGCAATGTGCGAACATTGAGGCATGCCAATCTGAAGGAGGATGGGGGGCTCCAAATGGAAGCCGATGAACTGGAATGGGTCGCTTGCTTGGACATGGGCCTGTTGACAGTGCAAGAATGACGCTTCGCTTTGAAACTAAAAGACAAGCGACTATTGAAGCAAGGTGGGGGAGGGCCGAGAATTGGGGTGTTGAAAACAGGGGGGATAAAAGCGAAGTTGTAATGGGACGATAAGGGTGAGAAAGCACGAGAAAGGGAATAAGAAGACGAGAAGGCTTGAGCAGTAGCATCCAAACCCCTATCCACCCTGCCCGATGCAGCAGATAGAGCACCGTTGATTATCCTCTGGGGTGGCCAGAGCATCAGAAATTTGTTTGAAGTGCGATTCATTGTATTGCGTGGGCAGGATAATGTCAGGTTGCCCAGGCCTAGACAAGAGAACGATTAGGGTTCTCAACCAAAGCCTTTGGTTCAAAAGCCTGTCCGCAAGGCAGCGGGTTTGGCGGTGGGCTACAAGGAGTCCGTTTTGAGGAATAAGGAGCCACCCCCATTCCAACCCCAACCTGGAGGCTTCGTTTGTCTGGCCTCTAACCATTGACCAACCTGGTATGAGTGGCTCTGAAGGAGGAAAAACAGCACCACCCAGTATAGCTCAATGGATCACTGAGACACACAAACCATCTCACCACGGTAAGGTCCAGCCTCATTGCGGTGGCTGGCGGAGTAGGGTCTCAAGGGAGTGTGCTTGGAGCACTACGTTTTAGTCCACAGTAATAGCCCTACACTAAAACCCCCGAAGTTGACCACCTCTCCAAGTTGGTCGTCTTATTTTGCATTGCTTGAACATTTACATGGATCCAGGTCCCTGTATTTTGACCCATGTTGGCCACCTTAGTCCAGTCCCTTGAGTAAGCCACTTGTGGAGATTGCACTGTATGTGATTGTTAGCGGCAAATTTATCACGCAATTCGCAAGATAGATGACGCAATTCAACTTTGGAGTCACACCAACTATTTGTTTATCCACCCTATGCTTCATGATTACATGCCCATCCGACATGGTTGGCGGCATCCGGTTCCGGATTTGCCTGTCACTGTGGCTAGCCACAGGACGCCTGCGCCTACACAGGGACCATGGGTGGCTTGCGCTGCACCACACACAGCTCCAACCACACACCCCATATACAGTGTAAACCCGAAGGAATAAGACCGGGAGGCATGTGGATGGGAACCACGTTTCATCTACGGAGCCGGACCACACTCCTTCACAGGCAAACACAAGCACGCTGTATTTGGGGAATCAAGCGCACACAAGGCAGTGGCTGGACCGTAGTCCGCTTCGCACTGAGTGCATGGAACCACTCTTCGAGCCTAGCACGGCCACAAGGACCGTGCACCCCGTCCCCTCCAGCAACGACCAACTGTCTCCTGGAGCCAGTATGGACGAGGTAGTGGGTAATAGACAGGTAGGCACCTTGTCAACATGCACATCAAGCGCAGCCACACCGGAGATAGCACGCAACAGCCAATCACTTTCAACGACAAAATGAAATAACATAAATCCACATAATGCATACAGATACGGTGGCATAACTCTTCGCTAAATTAGCATATGAAGTAAGTTGGTTAGCAATGAATCCGCGATAAGGAAAAAATGTCCACAAGTTACTTAAAATGCTACAAACGCAACAAAATTACCGAAGATAAGCGCAATTAGTGTAAGCGACGTGGCCAGCTAATAGAAGACTATTCAGATAGGCAAAACTAACCAAATATACTGGAATGAAATTTATGCAGCTTAAAGAGACTTAGTTTAAGTGTAAGTTGGTTTAGCCCAACTGCGGTGAAGAAGCATCGAGAATGCAACATCAGTGCAACATAAGTGTTATGTAACACACAAGGTGAATTAACACGATTGAGTCTTGACTCCCACTATCTATTCACTCGCACTCACTATGTGCATGCTCACATGCAAACCGACGTAACCATTATGTAATTAGCAAGACCCGTGTTGGGATCTCAATCTGGATGACCAATAATAAAATAAATACTTTGTCCGCAGTACGCCGTAAGGGCGCTTCGCTGCCACGGGACCACCAACAGTCGCACGCGGACTGAGTATACCGTGAGGACACCCACTCATACGCGGATTCAAACCGACAAGCTTTATGATTGCAAGCCAGGCGTGCGGACCACTCGGCCACCAGATGACCAAAGCAGACGCCTGCCCCATTTGATGAACGCCGGCTTACCGATTACCTCTTATGTGACATCATATCGATGTTATCATGGGTTCACTCCACCTCTCACTGTGCAACCCGTCCAGACCTCTCATATACATTCATTCATTACACACGCTAGTTGCAGGTGGAAAACACCTCAGCTATGGTGCCACCACACACAGCTCTGACTTGAATCATCCTCCCGCCCCAGGGGTACACACCTCCAGGTTCCTCCCACGCACCAATTTTTGACTGAACCAAGCCACCCCAAGAGTCCAGGGTATCACGTTCCCCACCATACGCTCTATAGCGAACCAGTAAGCCAAGAGTTAACGGACCTAATACAATTAAAGTTGTAGTCCGATTGTGGACTCTGTATGGTGATCTTATGTACGGTATCAAGTACCGTCTGCATTCCTTTTGGACATCGTGAAGACCGGTTGTTGCGAAACTGAACGTGTATTGTCGAGGTATATATATATATATATATATATATATATATATATATATATATATATATATATATATATATATATCATTTTGATCCCCTTTTTGAATATTACCGTGGTAAACGTCTCGGTTTCCTTTCTTTTTTTGGAGGGGAGTTCATACGCGTCACGCTTACCCCAAGCGAATTTGTTGCTTACAGTTATTCCGTACGACACAGCTGATATCGAACTTGGATACACATTTTCACCTGGTAGTCCCAAACTTAGCTTCAGGAATATGCACGGCAACCTAGTCTCAATGAATGTTCAGAGTAAAAATTTGTCTATGAAGTTTTCTGCCGTGAAAAACAATATGTGGGCATGAATGTTACATACCTGATGATTCCGGAAGACCTGATGTAACCAGTATCTCAATATGTTCGGTTAAAGACTTTTGTATCATATACTCGGCATCCATCAACTACTCCTAGCATACACCATATCAGGTGGCAAATTAAAAGACCATAGAACTAAGTTCATTACACTATCCGAAGCGCTTCTGTGTTCAAACTCGTAGTGCGACTGACGCCGAGTTTCGGGGAGGATTAGTTGCTTCACTAAACCTTGATTGTGCTCCTTAAATATGCATACATCCACACCTTATTCGACTGCCGCATCTGAAAGCTGCCATGGAAACATGGACATATAAATCCTAGCTTTCTCGTCGTTCCTCATTCTAGTCCCGTTTGCTACTCACACAACGTGTCTTGTACTTTCGTTTTTGTTGCAAGTTTTTACCCAAAACTTTTTGTCTGATTTTGTCGGTTCCAAACGCTACTTCCCCTTTCATCATGGTCCCCGAGCGTGCCGAAATAAAACAACTGAGTACTGTTTGGGAAATGAAAGCAATAACAGAATATTCTTAGCAAAACGATCCGATTGCATCCCCACATAATACCTGACCACTGAGTGTTGGTTCTGTGGGCGTGTTGTAGTAAATATGACTAATCCCTTTGCAGGAACCGTTTCTCAGAAGCACGAAAAATTTACCATCTCTATTTTATCTTATGAAGATATTCCACAGTGCCAAGGCGCAGGGAAATAAAAGTAACATCCAATCGATTCTTGAAGATGGCCGATGTAAGGAGGAGATAAGTGAGTTTGGAGGAGCGCTCCAGGGTAGGTAGTCCGAACTGCAAAGTGAGTTTCGTCGGCACTCTAGTTGACTGTATTGTCCACTGAGTTTCGCATGGTTACCTCGGGGTACATAAATGTAATCACAAATGTAGGCGATTTTGATGGATGTCGGTTGATGGAAACGCACACTCGAAGTCGGTTATGCACACGGAATAAATGATGACCAATCGCCGAGCAAACGTTGGTAGACCACTGCAGTAATGAGTCGCAAATGCCCCGGTTTTCAATATTATGCGAGAGCATTAACCTACTCAGCATGTCGGGTCATCGCTCGATATGGATGAGAACTTCACCTGAAGCGCTTTGCCTCGTAAAGTAATAAGTTAGTGTTCTATGAGAGCACGAGTGCATTGAACGGCATAATTCTTTCGTTTCCCCTCTAAAGTCGTGTGCGTCCAGTGTTAGAGGTCGATCAGTGTGCATGAACATAAGGAAACTCATAAGAATAAACTAAATGCACCAGCGAACTCAAGACGGTAATACACTAGAGTCGGATGACATAGTAGTTAAGGGTGACTGCACTGCAAGTGGTGGGATAACGGACAGTCGTACATAGGTAGATAGTAGAAACATTTCATCCATCGGATCTGCTCATTTCCACTGACAGGTCAATCTCATGCGGTTTACGACGCTTCGTATTTGCAACGGACATAATCGTATTCGCTCAAGGAAATAGCTACTGAGCAAAACCACCTAGCCGGCGCGTTATATGGACGTGATCAAGAATGAAATCAATGAGCTAAAGGTACCGGCCACCGAAGTTAGCTGTTACTTCAAAAATCAACTCTTATTGTCAATGAGTAATTTGTATACCAAATAATACGATAAGCACAGATTAGTTAATAAAAAGGTATGCAATCAATCGATTATCGGGACAAAAAGTAATTCTCCCTAATGGCACTTAATGTTTCCAGTCACGCAGCAGTTGACTCGACCAAGTAATCTTGGAGTAGGTAACGTGAGGCAAGGGTCAGCAGCGGCACAGCGGTGGGGATCCCAGGACAAGGGCCTTGACTGCCGGCGATGTCGAAGTGAGTATAGGGTAATGGTTTTTCTGAGTTATCCATGTGCTGTGAGAAAGGGAACAGAACCGATCACGCATGATGAGAAAAGGGGGGAATGGAGAGGGCATATAAAATATGAATGTGAGACGTAACAGGAAATTAAAGATAGCAGACAAGCAAAAGTAACTACCTTACAGATAAAAAAATTTCCTTGTGAAAGGCGTTAAATTGAGCACAGTCCAGTCCGTGGGGCGTACAGCTAAATACTCAAAAAACCAAGCAATAGATTAAGTAGGATTACTAGGGAATAGTATGGGGGAAGTAAGTGGCATAACCGATGTGCTGAGTGTAAAAGGATCATCTGACTGAGCCTTGAGGTGATGAATAGGATTTATGCCATTACTAAGGAGTTAGTGCGACGAGCCGTTATATAGCCAATAGGGATGAGAGTCATCAGGAGGATAGCTGCTTCATTGTTAGCGGTGGATAGCAATTCAACAGACGTGGAAAATGGTGAAACTGAATGCGGAATACTTGTCGTCTTCCACTCACTAAAAGTACAGGTACAAGCAATCTAGCTGAGATGACAAAACAGATCTCTATGGGAGAGAAACTGGCGTCATTTATTATTGAGTGGTAGCCACATGCGCAAAAATGACGGTAAGCTGCGATTGATTCAGGAATGGGTGACATACTACCCACGAGAATGACCGAGTAGGAACGGACAGAGTACACACGCAACAAGCAAGCCGTATCTCATGATGTGGCGTGTCCATTGACGAGTTATGGAGAAAAGAGAGGCATATGGCGAAAAATAATCGATGGCAAACATCACTGCTAGAGCAAAACTGTGGATGGGTTGTCTGAACTGAACAAAATACTGAAAGCTGGACTCGTTGATGGGCGATGGCGCTAAATACACCGAAAACGAAGGTAGGCGGCGAAGCAACGATGCAATATGTAGAAATATGCGCAGCGCAGTTGGCAATGAGCTTAAACGCGATGACGGAATCAAGCTCTTCTCCACTAAAAATGTAGCTACGGAAGACAAGGATTATAAGTTCGGCTCACCTGGTGGTAGAAAGTGAAAGGAATACCTTAAGCCACCAATTCAATATCCTCTTTATTCCTTGTGTTCGTATGCCTGTGTTCTTCCAGGTGAACCAATGATGTGGTGTTGCTTGTGTTAACCGGCCTTCAGGCCAAAAGGATGTTGGTTTGTTCTCTGAGTCTAGTGCATTGTTTTCCAGCTGTTTTGCCATCGAGGTAGGGAGCATCGACCATTCAAGTTCGAGGGAAGTGACTCACTAATGCTTCCGGTGTAACGGCTCTATTGACCCACTGCGATGGAGTTGACCCCTTTACGCACCCAACCAGAAGCGATACGGTTCGCAGTGTTTCGTATGCCACTTCAAGATTTTAGTGCTTATTGACTGAGCTCTGATCCGAGTAGCAGGCCTCGGTTCATTCGAGCCCTTGCCAAATTTTGTTCTTCCCATTGGATTTACGCTCTCTAAGTCGAATCAATGACCCATAAGCATTGACACGTCTTCTGCTCTCATAGACATAACAACATTGTGTTTGAGTAACCGTACAAAGTGTCAGCAGTTGGCCGGAACCACTACCCGATGCATGTAGGCTGTGATACTACTAAGTCTCCTGGATCTAACCAGGTTCGAAACGGTCATCCTGAGTCATCAAGCCACCCGTCAGACCGCGTATCCCCATGCAAAACTTCCTTTCTGTTTGACCCTCATGGCAGTTATTGCAGCTGCTACGGCAGATTTTGTGAAGCACGTCCGAGGTTTCAGCTTGTTCAGTTGGCCCATAAGGTTGAAGAGATTGGTCTGAGTTGCGATTCCATTTTTAGCCGCCGAAGTGATCAAAGTGGGTTACAGTGGATGCGCCAACGTCAAGGGTCCATATGAAATTGATAAATAGGTAAATTTTGCTCGCACACTGAACCGCTGATATTGTGTCATGCCTCGATGGAACATAGAAGACTGTCGTGTTATAACGCATCTGCTACCGCCCGGAGAGCGCACTGTGGCTAGCTGTTTCGTTTCGCCGGCATAGAGTCGGACAGATATATAGACGGTATCGGTGTTGGGCTCAGTCAGAAAGCTGAAGGTGATATTTTCGAGTGGACCAGCGTGAATAGCGTCATATGCGTGATGTGACTTTAGAACTGCATTGTGGCAAATAAGCAGCGCAGGTAGATGCGATGTATATTCACTGATTCTATGTGCGCCCAAAAGTGAACTCTACCATAACTCCCATCCCAAGAGTATAAAGCCGGAAATACGGGCAGAAGGAAGCAAAGATGCAATCGTGACCAAGCCGCGATGCGAAAATATCGGTGAAGAAGAGAGTGCGTAACGCTACGGAACGTCCTGCGTCATCTTGCAAATTAAAGACAGTCACAAAGTGCTGAAGTCAGCGAAAGACCTTGACAATCTATTGAACATCGGGGTGATCGTGTAACATCACCTGTGAGTGGTGAATCAGATGGAGGAGTGGTATGGAGGCGTACCGTTTGATGTTAGATGGCATCGGATCGTCCATTACATATGAGCCGGTCACGCTGTATCGGTCACGTTCTTCCTGTATATACAGACCAGAAGGTGTACTGTTAGAGAACACGGCGCCCGGGTGGACAGAACCTCAGCACCGTGAAAGTGCGCGACTGGTCACGCTGCATACCACCTTTTTGGATATGGTTCACGGGTTCGGCCACACCAGTAAAGTCTCCACACTCCGCAATTGGCACAACCACAAAACCAACGGTTGCTGCATTTTGTCAACCTTTCCGTCCACCGAGCACGCCTTCTTCTCCATTCATTTTTAGTTATAGTTCTTCTGAATGCTTACCTATTTGCACCCTCACGGTTTATTGGCCTCATTGCTGCGATGGCGTGGACACAGTGACTGGATCCATCGCATCTAAATGTCTGGATTACGGTCAGTCAACTATAGTACGCCACAATGCCGCATGCGGAAAGAAAACAAACAAATGACCGTGATCTTGGAATGACCAGCAGTGACCAGTATCCGTGGGCGCCCAAGTGCCATGAAATGGAAAAAATAAAAGTATCGCAGTACGCCGGTGAGCGGTGGCACCGAGGTTTCGACCCCACACGACTACCGCCAATCGCTCGCCGCCTAGTGATAATGTGAAGTCACCCGCAACTACACAGATACGAACTGTGACCTCGGGATTACAAGACAGTTTCGCCGCATTCCTTTGGTCACTGATCATGAAGTCACTTCGCGCTTCAGTGCATGACAAAGATCGTCCAATATACAGAGGCTTCTGGCCATCGCAATATAGAAAGATCGAGAAGGTAAGATGAAAGGCTCTCCATCGCAAACATACCAAAGCAACAGTGTGAATCCAGAGACAGTAAATGTTGGCGACGGAAAACCCGACAGCGAAATCAGCCGCGCAGAAAATATCGTTACGTTGGAAGCATCCAGAGATAAAGCGTCCGCATGGACAAGATACCGCTTGCAAAAATGCGCTTTCAATTATGGACTCAGATCAATTGTTTATGTACTACACAGACAAGTCGGCGAAGCGCACAAAGTTAACGAATGGATGTCGGAATGATTTGCATGTCACCTCAGATTCATCCGAAAAATTCTCATATACACTAGTTGGATTGGTGCAATAACGGAAAGGGATTTCAAATCGAAATAAAGAAGTGCGTTGGTGCACAAATGAGCAGGAATGCTGGACTAATGCTAGTGAAATGAAACGAACTACAGCCACCTTGTGAGTGGGCATGAGACAAAGCATGCGAGCTTCATTTGCAACGTGGGCCGCTGACAGTTCCTGCTCTAAACAGAGAATTGCAAAAAGTAATATGTTTGTTACTTCTAAATAAGCCACAGCATTATACTCATCGTCAACAACATACAAAAATAATCTGCATTAGTGTTTTGCTGTCTTACAACCATATGCAGTGAAGGGTGCACCAACTAATGAAGAATAAAAATGAGGAGGAGAGGAGCATCCGATAAAAAACGTAAATGCTTAAGCAGACAATCTAGTTTTCCGAAGCAATGCGGACAAAATCAGCTGGTCAGCGTGTAAAAACAAGGCATCACCAGTGGGAGATAGAGTGCACGCACCCGTCATCGTTCCGCGTCCACAGCGACCAACAAAACATAACTCAGCAGCGTATGCAACTCTAGCAGACAGTCCGATCAGGGGACGGCAGTAAACACACTACTGGTGTCCGCTGTGAATCACGTCCTGTATCGTTTACAGTCAAGTAGAGATTGAGACTGTATTTAAGAGCAAGTAGAAAGATTTCTGTACAACTCTACCTAATTATGAAAAATTAAAAATATTTAGTTGTGAACCGTCAGTGGTTGTGTTTGGTCAGTTAATCGTTTATCCTTGTTCGGTCTGGAATTCGTATTGGTGTCATTATTTCCGGGCATACGATGTTTTCTTTTGGAATTGTATGTGCATCGTTTCACTAAAGCACAGTTTTCCAAAATAATCATCGATACGTGTTTTAAAACACTTCTGGTAGTGTATTCTATAAGTTTACGATTCTTCGTTCTATACAAAGCTGATGTGATACTTTGTTCATGCAGGGGACCCAGAATTTGTAACGGTGTCCTCGGGTGTTACAGGGGTCCCGCAGGTGAAATATTGGCTGCAGTATGGGGAAGTGATTCAAGTGTAGTACTCGATGGGTCATAATAAGGTCAATTCTTACTCGACGGTAGGATAGTGTGTAGAGTCCGAGCCTTTCACGTTTCTCGCACGGAAGCTTTCGTAGACTCGGTATCATTCTAGTTGCGATATGCTGTATTTGCTCCAGCTTTTCAGTTCCCCACTGGGTTATCGGATGGTAAGCTGGGGCGCCCTATTCAAAGATTGGTCTAACGAACGAGGTGAATAGACGAGGGGCGGTTTCTTCGGACCATGTGGAGAAACTGCGTCTTAATGTCCAGAGCATACGAAGTCCCGCACGGTACACTTTCTCTGTATTTTCTAGTGATCTCATATCATGTCGCGAGAGAACTCCAAAGTTTTCGACAGATGTGTTAGGGTGGAGCAACTGGCCGTCCAAGGTGTATGATCGAATGGCTGGACATCTGGTGATACTGATGAACTCCAACTTGCTTGCATTAAGAGGGAGTTGCATTTCAGTGGACCACGTTGACAGTCGCTCTAAGTCAAGCTGGAGGCGAGCGCAGTCGTCCTGGTTTTCAATGATCCTCCAGATTTTCAAATCATCTGCAAACAGGACACATGGTGACTGGAGCTGCTGCGGAAGATCGTTGATATGAATAAGAAATAATGCTGGCCCAAGTACAGTTCCTTGAGGCACGCCACTGGCCGATGGGAACCAGTCGGTCAGGTAGTCATTGACTTGTACTCTAAACTTTTGTCCCACAATAAACTCGTATAACCACTGAAGTAGTGTGCCACCGATTCCGTATGTCCTCAGTTTACGAAGGAGTACAACGTGGTTAACTCTGTCAAACGCTTTACTAAAGTCGATGTGCACTACGTCAACATCCTTCTGTTCATTGGGAGCTCGTACACACTGGTGGTTTGCGTACATCAAGTCGGTGATGAAGGATCGCCCTTTCGTTAAACCGATGGATCGTGTGGGCCCCAATATGGAAAGCAAAAATAGAGAACATGAAAGCCAATACGAGTCAACTGTATCTAGTCAGGAATCTAAAGACTCTAGTTCTCGCTGCCAGGTCAAAGGCGGCTTTAGTGATCCCTACAAAACTCAACATTGAGCAAACAGAAACGGAGCACGTGTTCAAACCAATGCGATGGTACTGGGGCAATATTTCTGGAACTCACAGAGTCTAATCCAGAAGCAAGGATCATGAAAGCCGCTGGAGACTGATGCCCTCGAACGCGTCTCCCACCAACCGGACGAGCCGTATTGATCAAGTCCGCGTATTCTTCCTGAGCATTGTGTGCTTCGTAGTCCTCGCGACGCAGAGTAGATATCTGTGTGTTATGGAAGTATACACAAAACATGTAATAAAAACGCGATGAACATGACATATGTACAGTGTGAAGCAAATAAGCATGAAGAAAAAGCAACAGCGAAGAGCGACAAAGGAATGAACAGATGTTGCATCGGGCTACCCTAGAGTGTAAAAAATATCTAAAGTTGCGTGTTACTACAATGCGTCGGGAGCAAGATGGGCTATGTGAAAGATGACCTGTGTGGTAAAGCAGACGCTGACAACCAAACATCCTCTGATATGAGACTGCAACATTGTGCGCGTCCGCTCGATGTCCTGTTGCCACGCAACCGGTAGTGCAAGGGTTGGGGATAGTGCGAGGCCACTCGCACGTAAGTAGAGCCGAGCTGATGATGATCTGTGGAATACAAGGCGGACGCCGTATACCAATCGGCCGGTAAGAATGTGTACGGACTACTGTCTTGTTAATGAGATCAGGAGGGAGAAATGACCCGTGGCTAGCCCAGTGCACACAACAACGCATGACAAGGTGCTTGAATTCACTGCACTGGGTGCAAAAGTGATGGCCTACAGTCTATACGGCTAAGCTGAGTGCTGCAAAATGCTTGTATATTACGGTAAGGTAAAAAGCTTCCAGATAAACATGAAAAATGGAAGCAGTAAATGTCAACATCGAATACCCATCCCGCACGGAAATCGACAGCTTGGAATGCAATGAGGGAGATGTACACAATCTACTCACCAGTCTTGACGAAAAGAAGCCTACTGATCCTGACGGGCCCTACCCACAGATTCTCAAGTCCCTAGTGGTCATTAACCCGCTTTCCGTGACTGATCTGTTCAATGGGTCGCTGTTCGAGGGTGGACTGCCGATTTAGTGGAAATGCTAGAAAGTGAAGTCGATTCCGAACGGCAGTGACCCGAGCAAGGTGGGCGATTACCGGCCATTTATCTGACTTCCGTTTTGGCCAAAGTACTCGATAAGACAGTGAAGAAAGGTGTGCAGCAGACGCTGGAATCGAAAGATATCCTGACAGAGGCACAGCACGATTTCATGAAATGGAGCTCATGTATCACCAACTTGCTGGTGACGCGGCTTGAATAGTTGAAGGCAGTGAAATCTATCGACGTGATGTACATTGATTTCAGTAAGGCATTCAACAACGTGAAGCACGAGGTCCTCCTACACAAGCTAAGGACAAGCGGTGTTGGTAGTGCACTGCACCAGTGGATAAGCGAGTTACTTATTGGGAGGAAGTGTATGGTACAGGTGGATGACCATCTAATTGACTGGCATCGCTCCACCAGTGGCGTATCACACGGGAAAATGAGCTAATTTTGCGCAGGATTCACATCAACGAAGTACCTCAGCTTTTTCGGTAGTCTTGTGCCATATTTGAAGACGACCAGAAGATATGATGTTCCCGACGACTGTGGCGTACTTCAGCATGACCTCGATCGCTTGTCCAGGTGGCCTGCAGAGGTCCATCTGCCGGTTAACCCAGTCAAATCGTTAGTTGAGTCTGGGGCACGGCGTACATACACACTTACCGGCTAACCGCTACATCCTACACCTTCCGTGAGGAGCCTTGGCGTATTCTCACGCTGCGATTTGAAGCCCGTAGATAACACCAGCAAGTCATATGGAAACGGACTGCGCATGCTTTGGGCGCTCAAAAACAGCTACTGCATTTGGTCTGAAGAGACTGCCGTTCGCCTATCTTCCATTATAAGACCAATGCTAGTGTAAGGCTCACTCCCCTGTCATCCGATAACCCGTGGCGGGATGTAAAACTGGAACGTGTTTAGGCTCATCCTTAGTTTACGGGGTATGTCGTACGAAGACTGATGTAGGAGACTAGGGATGTACACTCTATCGCATTATCGGAGACGAGTGGACCTCATAATGACGCGTCGGATATTAGATACATGTGAAGTCTCAATGTTCAGACTGCTTCCATAAATTTGCGTACCATGCTGCACTAGCTTGTATCGGTATAAGCTTGTAGTACCGGAGATGAAGCGGACAGCTCACACACTATGCTACGAGCGACAATAGGCGAGGTGAAATGGGTGTTGGAATTCAAGAAATTCCTAGGCACCCTCTTTGCGAAGTACAGATTGGGAGAGCACATGGTACTTGAATAGGACGCCGCACATCCGAACTGTGTTGACAGTGCGCGCTAATGAATGACGTTGCTCCGAGTGCGTGCCCGTTATCCCATCGGTGGAGCAACACAGGTGTGTATATTCTTAATATACAGCATTCGAAATACGAGGTGAACGTGGGAAAACCTTAACAATACCCATAGGTAGAACAGATTAACCAAATCGTTTGGACGAAAAGACCAGTGTGCCGGAAACAAAAACAAATTGGATGAATAACAAACAGTGAAAAGATCGAAAAAATTCCGAAAGTTCGTGTGGAAACTCTGCTCACTTGCAGGTTCAACAAGCCAGTTCGTCCGCTTGATGCAGTGAGAAGATGAGCTATGTAGAGGATCCTATTTCTAGTAGACCTGAGATTGTGGTTATTCTGAATTCTTAGCAATCATCATGGTACATTTTCTCCGAAATACCGTTCGATTCCTTTCGATAAGCTACAACCGCCGCAACGAGACTGGACCTCAAGGTGGTGCGGCACTTTACGTACATCTGTGACCGATTTAGCTATACTGTGGTGCAACCGGAACCATTGAGAGCTACCCTTACCAGATTGGTCAATGGTCAGAAGTCAGACAGACACAGTCTCCTGGTCCTCCAGGTTGGAGATTTGAAATGGGATCATTGCTACCTCCCCACTGCCTTGCGGATAGGTTTTTGTACCAAAGACTTTGCTTGTGGATCCTAATTGTCCTCTTGTTCGGGTCTGGTGCAGTGGCAGTATCTCAACCCACATACAACCATGACTATTTCCTTAAGCTGCAACCAGATCCTGCATCGGCCATCGCGCTGATTATCAAGGGTCGCCTTATCTGCTGTATACAGCAGAGAGGATAAGCGAAAACATGATACTGCTGGTGCCTCCCATCTTCCTTTTTCACCTATTTCTCTTACCCATCCCAACACCCATTACTAACCTTCCTTAGATAATTACTAACTTAATTGACAGCAGATGTAATGCCAATGGAGTCGAAACAGCTGCAGCTACCTTCTCGCATTAGTTACTGGACGCCTATCGGCAACAGTCCCTCATAAGTCGACGCTGTCCCGTTTACTACCTGGCGACGTTCAAAGTTCGCACGCTAAGACAAATAAGTCAACAGGCTGCACTGGCACGTACGTTGGACACACTGGGTATTGACGTGTGTTGTGAATCCGAAACTAGGATCAATGACCTTCACGGGGTTATTGAATTAAGTGCGCCCGGTTTGTCCTCTCGTTATTGGTTGCACGCATCCGGGGACGCTGGTACTCAGGTCAAGCTGGAGTAGACATCGTTCTCAGCTCCAATACTAAGCCAGTGTTGGTTGATTGGATTCCAGTGAACAGCCGTTTGACATCTACTAAGGTTTGTTCACAAAGGAGTACAAAACACTGTTTGTGGTTTCCGCTTATGGTCCCATCGACTGCAGTTCTGATGCTGTCAAGGGCACATTGAACCACGAACTGGACACGCTACTACGCAGTGCATATATCATAGTACTTGCAGGGGACATGAATGCACAAGTAGGTCGCCTTGGCTCTTTAGAATCTCAACTAGATGGTAATTATGGGCTTGACTCCGAACGGAGTGACAACGGCGAGCGTTTGTTGCAACTATATGCGGATCATTGGCTGTTTCTTAGAAGCACTGCTGTTAAACACAGTGAGCATTGAATTGTCAACTGGCGTCCTCCAGTAGCTGACCAGCGATGGACCCAAATAGATCACACTGCCATAAGTTACAAGTGGCGTGGTTCCATCCTGGATTGCCGCTCGTTCTGGTGTATTTGCGTCGACTGATCATGCTTTGGTACGACGTCGTTTTTCCGTCAACCTTACCGGGAGGCGCATCAAGCGTCCACCTCGATTGACAACTGAGAAATTATCTCAACCCTCGGTCAGGCAAGCCTACTATGATGATCTGCGTACCGATCTTTCGTTCGCTTGTCCTAACGACACTGAGCTTCAGTGGAATAAAATCTTGGTCACCATGCACGAGCATCTACTTGTGGTACTATTAATCGTCACCGCACCAATCACTGGATATTCGAGAGGTCAGTGAACCTGCTGGAATTCAGAAAAAACCTCCCAGCTGGCTCTGAGCACAATGTGACCAGACGGACTATTAAACGCGAACTAAAGCGGAGCCTGCGCTTTGACAAGGAAGCCTATTGGACCAGTGGGGCTCAAGAAATGGACGACAATTATTGCAAGCTCTTCCAGCTGATTGGTACCACTGGTCCCAAGAAACCAGGCGTCAGTGAGACAAGCAGAAACAATGCGGGTGCACGTATGGCTCATTGGGCGGAGCATTTTAAAGATCAGTTCAGTTGGCCACTTGCTTGCGGACCTCCTCCTACACAGGTGGTGCAGGACGAGCAGTGGACAGTTAGGTTAGAGGCTCTATCGGAGGCTGAGGTCAGAAACGCGGTCATAGCCTGCAATCGTTTTCATGCTGTTTGCACAGATTCCCTCCCATCTGCACTACCTAGCGATGGAGGTGAGGTCTTCTGCAAAGCACTGACCTCACTGTTCGATCACGTCTGAAAGGAAGAGACCGTCCCAGCCAAATGGAGTGAATCAATTGTAGTGTCAAAATACTAGAAGGGCAGTCGCAACGACTGCAAACCACAGGAGTATTAGCCTAACGCAAGTTGGGACAAAATTACTGGCCTCAATTCTCGTTCGTTGCTTCACTGCGGAACGTGAAGCTCGGAGTATGCAACTGCAAGCAGGTTTCCACCCTGCATGGGGTTGTATAGATCATATATTCATTCTGCGGCACGGGCTAGAGCAGCGCCACGCACACCGCTGATCAACGATAACTGTGTTCCTCGACTTCAAGAGTGCGCTCGATTCAATCGATCGATGCAT